CATCTTTTTCTAATAGATATATAAGCCTATTCTAAATGCTTAAAATAAGTCTTCACTCTGAAAGTTATAGTCAAACTTTCGTGACCATTAGAATCTCTCAGGAACCTTGTTAACAAAGCAGATTCCTAGTCCTTGTTGTACTGAATTCTGATTCAATAGATCTAACATATGGCCTAAGACATTTTTACCTAGTACTGCTGGGTACTATAGCATAGGTAACAATTAACCCTATACTGTAGGAGGCCTATGGTACAAGGGGTGCAGTCCAGGACTAAAGTGGATAGCTGGCCTCTGGAGGTGGACTCAAAAGGGTCAAAATCTGCCTCTGCTGCTTCCTACCTCCATGATTGAGGCAAATTTTTTAACCTCTCTGGACTTCATTTTCTCCTTTGTAAACTGAGAGCAAACCCAATTTATAGGGCAAATGTTAGGATCAGATGAATTAACATACCTAAGTATGCTTAGAACAGAGACTGGCACAGAGTCAGCTCTAAAGATGTGATTGCTATTATTATTAAGTGTGAATTATGAGATTTTTAATACTGTGTAGATTACGTGAAAAAGGTTTAGATTCATAAAATATAGTAAAGTATACAACATATAGTGTGATAGAAAACAGTCTATAATGCTAATATATTTTAAAGAAATAATTAAAAATAGTGATGTCCTGAGAAATCAAAGTTTTCAGCGCTGGGTTGGCATCTAAGCCGTACAACAGAAGGGGCCTAGCTAGGCTGAAGAGTGACAGGGATGATGGGACCTGCTACAGTCATGAAAATGAATGATTGGTCCCCTTCTGTAAAAGTCAGGAGATATAAAAGATATTTTTGGAAATTATTTCTAACTGGAAATCTTGAATGACTTTTTCTTTCTAGAGACTTGTTTTTAGTCCTGGAGATTCTGATTTAGTTTTCCTTTTCCTTTGTGGTATGCTGAAATGGCACCTAAGGTTTCTTCCTGTAATATGCATTCTTCAAATTTTTGTTTGTTTTTAGCATGAGAAAGTCCTGTAATATTTATACAGAAAATAACTCTTCACTATGATTCTTGGCCGACTCTCAGCTGACTCAGGTGTTTTTCTGAAGGCTGCCAACACGGGCTGTCAGTCACTCAGCAATATTTATGGAGGGCCTGTGGTGTGCAGAGCACCAAAAAGAACTAAAAATGAAAGAGGAGCTAAAGCTTTGCTTTTAAAGCACTTACACACCATTGGGCTAAGCAGGACAAGCATAGAGGATTCATACATAATACATGATACTGACACAGATGTGTACAATCATGTACTAGAAGGATGAGCTAAGAAAAATTGCTGAGTAGGCTTGTCTCTGAGTTCTAGGTTTCATTTGCTAATTTTCTTCCTTACTGCCAGACACTTCTTTATAGCCAAGGAATACTTATCAACTTGGTATCTATACATATAAATACACTTGAGTAAGTGACAGATACTGCCCTCCAAACCCTCCTATCATCCAGTGCTTCTCAGGCTATTTTCTTCATTACAGAATCCATTCTTCAATTCCTTTTCTCATGTTCAGAGTCCTTTTCTAAGCAATTGTAAATAATTAAGTATAAATATTTTTTAAAGCCACAGTTAAAATTTGACTAATGAGAGATACAATTCAGTATTTTACCTTTTTAGTCACCCAAAGTAAGAAATCTGTAGTGGTGAAATTGTAAAAGGAAGGTGACTGGTTAAGGGGAAATATATTTTAATGAAAATCCATGAGTTTTCCTTTAGTGGACTGCCCCTTTTAGGATTAGATTTACAAGGCCAATGCTGTTGGTGCTCTTTCTTTCCAGATCCTCAGTGAAAGAAGCCAATGGTTGGTATGTTATCCTTAGTCTTCAAATACAAATAATTGGGCTCTCTAGAGGCATTGTTATCTGACACTAGAAGAATAATGTACTTTCCCTACTTGGTAATGACTATTCAATAAGATAGAATTATTTTTAAAAACTATGGTTTGATACTAGTGTCCATAGACAAGGCAACACTTCGAAAAAGAATATACAGACACAAATCTTTAAATGTTACCAAACCTCTTTTTATTAACAACAGCTTATGCATCATTGTCTAAGTAATCCCTAACTCCATTCCTGAATATGAGTTAAATTGCCCAGAACCAGAACATAGCATCTCACCACTGTGGACTCTGTCTGGTTCATACAGATTGTGCATGATTATTTCATATCAGATCTTTTCCTTCATCTTTGGTCTCTCTGTTTACACCTATCCAGTTAAATAAAAGCCCTGTTTTTTTTTTTTTTCCAAAGATTCCTAGTTTTTGCTTATGGAGGTACAAATAAAAAGAAGATAAAGTTATATGCCAGCGAACTTATGCCATGGAAAAATTATTTCCCTTTTAGAAAAAGTTCCCACAACCCATCCTAGCCTCTGTGCATTTTCAGTTTTAAAAAATGTCCTATCTAGCCTCATCCCAGCTCCAACTCAAAGTATTAGAAATGAGTTAGAATTTCCAGATTCCGTGTATTAGACAACAGTGTTTAAAAATGGGTACAGTTTTAAAACTAAGAAATAATGTCCTTTATTTAAGTCTTTTTTGCCTACTTAAAAATGAGGTTTATAATTTTAGCAGAGATAGTGCTTGGATGACTGAAGAGATGATATTCCAAGTAGTATTAATATGGAAATTCCTCACAGTGGTATAAAATCATTATAGTAAATACCTAAGGATGGGAATTATTGAGTCATGCACTGAGAATAGAAAACCAGTTTTCCAATCTGGGAGCATGGTAGAAGATTAGGACTTTTGAGGATAGGAAAATAAATTAGCAAAAGATCTTGAACTTACGATTAGGAAGTAAAGTTTGCAGAAGTGAATGAGAAATAAAAATATTTTTCTATATTTTTAGCTAACTCTGCATTTCTTAGCCATTCTAGCCATTTCTCCCTATGAATATTAGAAAACTTCCTGATTTATATCCTGCACAAACGATTGGTATTATTTGCCTTTTTTAAAAGTACTTTTTAGTTGTCAATGGATATTTTATTTTATTTATTTATTTATATGCAATGCCAAGGATCAAACACAGGGCTTCACATATGCCAGGCAAGTGCTGTACCACTGAGACACAACCCCAGCCCAGATGATCTGTTTTTATTTCCAATTTCCTAAGTGTGATATGGTGTTAAGCATCCCACACCCTTATTTGTGAGAAATCAATTTACATCCTAAGGAGCATCAGATGTAAAATTGATAAAATTTGAGTATTGAAAACCAAATTATTATAGTTTCTGGGAATGCATTAAACTAGGCACCTTGATTGATCTTCCTGATAAAAATTAATAGAAATGTAAAATGAAATTATTTAAAATTTGTTTTAATTCACTGATAACCAAGAATATTAGTAAGGAATATTCATGCACCAAAATGTAACTGGAGGCAGAAACCCTAGGGGTAAGCCAAACACCAAGGCCAGTTTTCATCTGCAGACATCGGAAGCTTTGGTTTTTATGCCTTCAAGAATGCTGAGGGCCAATGTCAAATCCCAGGGCCTACCCAAGTTGGGATGCATAACAGAAAATAAAATCCAGGTACAGTATTGTCTGTTTACAAAAGACTCATCTAAAACTAAGGATAAATAATGATTTGAAAAAACAAGTGTCAGGGCTATATAAGTGTCAGGGCACACAGTATTTCACAACAAATAGTAGTACTACTGGGGATAGGAGATTGACATCTGGTACTGACAAAGAAAGTAGGGAAAAGAGGAAAGTGTTTTGTTCTCCCTCTTGGGAAAACAATTCATTAAAATCTTTCTAAATATAAGATTATATAAAATACACACATGCTTTGACCCAGCAAAGCCTTTTTTTTTTTTTCATGATTTGTTTTCCCTTTCTTCTGCAAGATTCAGATAGGAGATTTTTGATCAGATTAAGTATCAGGAAGCAGACAGCCCAGCCCCTATATTCAAGAAGGATTAGTTACAGGACCCCTAAGGTTATGAAAATTTGCAAATGTTGAAATTCTACATATAAAATGTATGTATACATTCTCTCATATACTTTAAAATCATCTCTAGATTACTTATAATACCTAATATAGTGTAAATACAACATAACTAGTTGTTATGCCATGTTGCTTAGGGAATAAGGACGAGGGAAAAAAGTTTGGACATGTTCAGTACAGACACAATTTTTTTCTCTGAATATTTTTGATTCTCAGTGGAATGTAGAGCCTACAGATATGGACAGCCAAGTGTATATGATCAGTGTAAAGTTTATAAATGTTAACGTTGTAACCCATTACATGCTAAAATGAAAAAAAACAATGATGCATGGTCAAGTGGAAGAAGAAAGCTCAATAATGAATGCAAGTAAGGGGAAATTGCAGAGTAAATATGTGATCATTTTAACCAATCTTGTTTGGTAGAAAAATTTGTGTTCAGTTGGAAAACTAGCTTCTAGGAATATCCAGAATCATCCCTTCCAGTTTAGAGTAGAATTAAACACAAAACAAAAAAATAAACAACCAAAAGCTCCTCATGAACTTCTCTCAAAAAGTCAGAATCCCTTATAGTACTTTCTGGCCAGACCTGCTTTGGAACCTCAAAGAGGCTCAATGGCATAGCAGAAATAAAAAGCAGATGTGCATGATGTAGAACAAGAAATTCTTATCATGATATCAAGACAGTCTTGAGGGATAATGTACCCACTTGCCCACACACAAAGATGAAATAGGAGCAAGCCTTGGTTCTGAGCTCCTGTGATCTGGAAGGTTTCCCATTCTGAGGGGGCTGATGAAACCACAGAATTCTCACTAAGTCTTTGAGGGAATGAGAAGTCATAACTGCTTCTCTATCTTTTCCCCCTTGCACCCCATTTCTCATACAGGTTTAAGTATGATCTTGTATAGAACTCGTTCACATCTTATTTGTTCATTTGAGATAAAAGAATGCAAAACTAACTTTAGCCAAGTCTAAGTTGGTATTGGTGGCCTGGTATCCACCATAAAGCTTTCAAAATATCACACTAATAAGTAACACACATTTATTTTTAAAAACTAATATTTATAGAAATATTATTGGCACAATAATACTCATAGATGAAATAATGAAGTTACTATTTTCTATACATGATTCTTGAGAAGCTTAGAAATTGCATTCCATATTGTATTTAAGTAAAGTATTAAGAGGAAAAGAATAAAAAACTTGAAAATTTATAGTAAAATTACTATACATAAAAGAAACATATGTTTATGGAAACATTATTGATGGCACAGTTTCACCAAAGCTCTACACATTTACTGATTAACTTACATAATGTCTTAGTGAAAAAAATATTCTATACATTTTCCTTATGCTAATATAGACAAAATTCTAGAGGTATTTATTTAGGTGTTATAAAATTCAGGGTAGGCAGAGGACAAGTTCAAATACAGAGTCAAAGATGCTCCCATGACTCCAAGAAATGATTTGAAAACAAAAGACAAAACAACATATATTGGGGCATGTGATGGCCAATGGAAACTGTCTTATCTGAGCACCAAAGAAAGGTCTATGGATGCATAATCAACTTATATGGTATCATTTGAAATGAACTGGATATCCCTCTTCCTTCCTGCCCTGTATCCCCAGCTCCCCCTAATCATCCAAATAAGTCAGTATGATATATATTGATTCAAGTCTTTGTAGAATATTTTGTATTTTGATACTGATTCATGTAATCATGAATTTATTAAGTTTACTACCTGTGTGTAGAGTGGTGTATTATTTATTTTACTTTTGTTCTACCTTCTTTCTTTTGTTTTGATACTACCTTATTAAAAAAATTGAGAAGCATGAAGCAGCACGTATCAGATGAAGAGCTTTCCTTAAAATATGAAGATATGATAAAACTGGTTATAATATATGATGATCCTTTAAATATTTACATTAAACTGTGATTTAATTCAAATATGTACACCTTAATTCAAAATATACAATATAATTCTGTAATTTTCAAAAGATTTATTAAAAATGCAAGTACATGTACTGCAGTAACCTGGTATCTTCTCTCTGGTGCCTCTGTGATTGCACATACCACTTCATTAAATGTGACTTCAAAAGTCAGCCTTTGCCAGGTACAGTGGCACATGCCTGTAATCCCAGTGGCTCAGGAGGCTAAAGCAGAAGGATTGAAAGTTCAAGCCAGCCTCAGCAATTTAGCGAGGCCCTATGCAAGCCAGAGAGACCTTGTCTCTAAATGAAATGTTTTTTAAACAAAGATGGGGAGGAGAGCTGGAGCTGTGGTTAAGCACCACTGGGTTCAATACAGGGTACCAAAAAAAAAAAAAAAAAGTCAACCCTTGAGGCTTTGCACAAAGGTAAGGTTTAAGACAAAGGAGGCCCACTGGTTTCTTTGATAAACTGCCACATTCCCTTTCTAATAATCTAAGATTTGGTGATAAAGAATGGATTCTTGATGTTTACCCTTCAAGTTTATATCAGATTTTCCATGAATGGTAAAAATTAAATGAACTAATTGAGGCTGAGTTGAAGATGGGGAGAGTGAGATCTTTATTTTTTTAATGGTTTAGCTCTTTCCTTGGAGGTAAAACTGGTTGGGTAAACTCCAGGACATTGAGCAAGGTTAAAAATTTTAAAATAACAACATTAAAGCAACAAAACAGTGGCCCAGTGTAGGGCAGTGGAGAAGGCAACATCAAGTCTAAAAAATGACAGTTGTGTCCTTAAGCATCCGTGGAGGGCAACCAATTTCAACTAGGATCCCATTCTTGTGGTTGAATATGATGTGGAATTACACTAGTTGTATATTTATATATGAGCAAAAAAAAAAGTTACATCTGATTCTTTCTATTGTCTTTCCTATTTCCATCCCCCTTCCCTTCCCTTCATTCCCCTTTGATTTTTTTGAGACTCTCTACTGGTTAGATAAAATAGCCAGAACTCTGCCTTGAGCTTTGCAGTTGTTTTTCTTACTTAATGCAGAGGAAACCTGCATCTACTGTTCTCTTTCTGTTGACCATTTAGATATTAACTAGTAGCCAGGTCCTCAGAGTGGGAAGATTCTTCTCCAGCCATTTAATATTTTTGGTTATGGTTTCCAGAACAATTTGAAAAATATCCAGATGTGATCCTTGGGCCGAAAGAGATTCAAAGAATTGTTTTACCTGTAAAAACAAATATGCAAAAAAAAAAAAATTACTGGCATGGTTCATAAAAACACTGTTTCTTTAAAGGATTTCAAAACAGCTGGCAAATTACACACACACAGGTGCAAGCATTTTTCCACCAAACTATAAAAGATTCTTTTCTTTTTTTCCCTTTTTTTAGGCATAATGGTTATTTTCTTTAATTTTCAAACAATAAAGACAGAAAGGAATTATAGATCCATAGCTCACAAGTGAGGCCACTATGGGCAAAGGGGTTAAGTGACTAATTCACAGAAGTCACAGAGTAAATGGTGAGCTGGAATTTTAGTTCTGGAATTCTGAATTTGCTTAAGAGATACATTTAGTATTTCTTGTGAAAAGAAGATATAAAACACACAAGTGCTTTTGAAAAGGACAACTAGAATTAACAATAGTAGTTTTGTTGAAAACACAAATAGGCACATTTCCACATTTTAATATGCATTCCTGATCATGATACAATACTGATGAAATAATAAAAAGGACTCATCTGTCAAGCGTATTTTCATTTTAAAAGCTATGAACACATATTTCTTAAAATATGTCAGGTTCAAATTGCATCCCTTTTATTTGCTTGTTATGTAGCAATGGAAAAACAACTTTAAAAAATGATAATTTCAAATCAAGTTTTATTTAAATTTATTTTCAATCCTACAATCTGTACATTTATTGTTAGTAGTAGAAAGTCACAAACCTTACCTCTTGCAACTCATCCTTGGAAGAAAAGAAAGATGTTGTGCTAGAGATGATGGTTCTCATGGCAAATGAGCCCAAGTCAAATCTGAAAAAGAAAGGAACCTCACAGATATAAGTAATGGAAACACTGACCTTATGTTTATCATAGTATATATCATATTTAAAATATGAAATATCAACAACTATGTAACTTTGTATATTACAGTAAACACTATTAATTACCATAAATATAACTCATATTCATTTGTTACAAGCCTGAAACTATGAAATTGACAAAATTCAACATAAAATAAAAATGTTGATCTGGCATCATTGCCAAATATGATTAGATTCTTTGAAAATGTTTATGTTTAAATTTATGTTTATATTTAAAGTAATCTTCTCTACAATTTTTGCTTATATACCCCACAAATAAAAATTTTTGAGCAAGAATTTAAATACACACACACACACACACACACACACATATGTATTTTTTTTAGTGCTGAGGATCAAACCTAGAACATGTTAAGCAAGTGCTCCACCACTGAGCTATACCCCCAAGCCCCAATACACATATTTTAATTTGTGAATTACATGCATATATTATGGTATGATTAAAATATTTAAAATCATGATACAAGAAATAATATAAAATGTCTTTATAAAATTTATATTATATATTATGTATAATTTCATATACATACAATTTATAAATCTAATGTATATTATATATTTTAATAGGTTATAATAAATGACATACAATTTAAAACATTAGATAAGAAATGATATATGTAGTAATATTTTTTTTTTGCATTCTAATATGTTTTCACACTTCCCCATTCCATTTTGGACACCACTGTATTTAAATGTTTATTTGGTCAAATGTTTTTTGTTTGAACTCTCCTTTACAGTCACAGATTGCATCCTTCATTTCAGTTTTGTTTAGAGACAAGTCAAAGTGATTCATGCTGACACAGCCCAGCAGAGACAATGGCTCCAAGCCTAGGTTCTACATATGGTTGGGCAGGAACACAATCTCGAGTTACAAGTTAGATATTATGGAAATGTCTGATCATTTCAGAGGAAGATTGACAATCATGCAAACAGCTAAACAATGGTTCTAGTAAAGTTTTTAAGGAAAAAAAATTTAATATAGTTTCTGTTTGGTATCATGTGATGGATGGGTGTCTGCTCATTGAAGGTCCAGGGGAGAAGTGGAAATGTGTTTTGGGTTACACAAAGCTGTCTTTGAGGACTCTGAATCTTCCATCTCTAAGAAATGAGGGAGAAGAGGGAATTGGAGAAGCTACATTAGAGATACCAAGATTAAAACGAACAAAGCAAATGAAACAGCTCTCTGATTCAGGACATTTTCTATATCGGTCACAAGTGACATTTTGGATTTGGATGAGAGGGTTAAATGCCTTAAAAGAAGGTGTGTGTGTGTGTGTGTGTGTGTGTGTGTGTGTGAGAGAGAGAGAGAGAGAAGCAGGGTGTGGGGGGCATTACAATGAAAAAAATTGCTCTTCTGAGAGATAATATTTAAGCCCAGGAACTTAGTCACAAGCTCTAGTTCTTTCAAACATTGTGAGGCCTCAGGAAAAAAAATCTGAACCAATATTGGAGGGGGCTCCTGAAATACTTCTGTTCTTTTGATTGCTTTGAGATCTTTCCACTGTACTACCTCCATGGTGAAACTAGAGGTATAGATTAGCTCTCATTAGAATTTCTGAGGTTCTGCATTATCCAAACAGGTCAAATGCATGTAATGCTTCTATAAGCCTTCATTGGATTTATTTCAGGAGAGAACCAGGGTAGATGGGGAGATAACTAGATTTAACTCAACTTGTACTGCTCCCAGCAATTCTTTGCCTGGGATGAATGAGTGGAGTGTGTTTCTTGTTCTCTTATTCTCATTCCTCTCTTGTACACCTGTGCAGAATAACTTGAGTGAGTGAATTTTAAAGCCTATAGATTTCATTGAAAAATTTGAGTAGAGATGATCTTTTATAGGCTTTTATATATACTTGGTTACATATGGTTTTAATTAAGAGACATCTGCATTAAAGAACATACATTGAGCTTATACAAATACTAACTTTTTTAGGAGATCAGTCCAATTTGCTCTTACAAAATTCCAGGCTAACTGCTGACCCTTTGGATTTCTGGCAATTGCATGAATGAGAGCTGCCAAGTCTTGTGTCTTGATAACCTTTCCTTCCATTCCAAGCTCAATTAACCTAAAGAAATAAAAATCATTTGTTTTTTCATAGTATATATTATGGAAATTAACTTAGGGTACCAATATATTAAAATAACAGAACAGAAAGAAACATGATAAAAGTACAATTTACCAAAAACGGTAATGAATTTTCTACAGGCTAATCTTATTAATGTTCCAATTAAACATTTACTTTTTTTTACAGCAGTAACTTTATTTGGTAATTATTTTAAAGACTTTTATTAGCATCTTGTATACATCTTATATGCAAGATTGTTTTTTGAAATAATTTTCACCTAAAGTGCTGAAAGTAAAGCACACCATTTATCTAGCATCACATGATTAGTAATAAAATAATCTGTTTACTATTCACATTTGTCAATATATATGTTTGAAAAGTAAAGTTAAAACCATTCAAATTTGGATTCAATTATTTTATACCTTTAAAATTAGTGGCTGCAATTTTAGTGACTTCAGTGAATTTGTTTCAGCTTACTTTTAACAGTTTAGTTGATGAACTTACTTTACCAGCTTTTCCTGATGCCTGCTCGTTGATAATGCATACAGAATTTTGTTTTTTTCAGCACTTGAAACTGACAGTTCATATTGCTCTAAAAGGTAATTCCATCCTGCTGTTGTCTGAGCACCCACAGAATATACAATCTTTAAAACATCTGTTGGAATACTGCAATATTAAGCACAGAAGTAAAGAAGAGAGTTTTATGAAAGAAAAGAAACATTATATTTTACAATTTATGTTACCATAACAGATTCACTCCTGAATTATTTCCAGTACTCAGGGAATTAAAACATTTTTCTGTCAAATTTTATGAAAAGATTTTATGTAATTTTACTTTGCAGATTATTTATGTTTTATCTCCTACCATTGACAAAATATTAGCCAGCAGAATAAGTATACATTTTAACCAACCCTGAGATAGGGTAGAAAATAGAAAGTTGGTGAAAAATAATACAAATAAACAAAAGGGAATTTAAAAATGAAAACAAAAATAAAAAATAAAGTGGAATCAATAAAAAATAATTTCTGATATATAATACTGGTTATACAAATTCTATCATATTAACCTTTATTGGTGCTATATGACTTTTTAAGAAATGACTATTTATACTTTAATTTCACCTTAAAAGTACTTTCTGATATCTGTCTGAGGGTCACTAGTCAGTTCTAAATTTAGAAAATTGTAATTTAGTACAATTGATTAGGGCCTTGGCATTTTACTGTTATAAAATGTATAAAATGCAATGATATTATTTTCTGTCCTCCAAAAGAAGGCACATGATTTAGGTTTTTATTGCTTTGTAGGGCATTAACCAGTGTTATTCTAAATTTTTATATAATTTTTATCCCCACATATAGATAGATCAACAGTAGCTGATAAATACATGGCTCAAAAAACCCACAACATAGAGCAATAGGGAGGGGTGGGAAATTTGCATTTGTCATGAAGTGACCTCATGACAGGTATTGTACTAGTTTCTGTATAACATTTAACTGTCAAAACTACCCAGTGAAATAGCTATTATCCTGAATTTTTAAAAGTGGAAATAATTCTTGGAAAGGTTATGAAAATGTACACAAGGTGACATAACTTGCTATTTTGGAGGTAGGACTGAGATATTGCTTGTGCCAGTTTCTACTATATATCAGGTTGTACATAAATATCTCAGGTGCTGAGATAAAATTATAAAATATTATAAAATATTATAATAATACTTTAATAATATAATAATTATAATAAATATATAAAATATTATAAAATACTGATTAATTAAATTAAAATCCATATTGCTTTGATTTTAGTGTATTTTAACTGACCATATTTTTGAAAACTAGTAGAAAACACATTAAAAGTTTCTTGAAAATAAGGTACCTGGTTTTGTCACAACTTGTAATCCTTAGCTCCTACAGCAGTGCCTAACTGGCACATAAGAGATATGCAAATAATTATACTTTGAATTCACAAATAAACAGTCTTTGTAACAAGATTCTTCACTAAGATTTATACTAACGTTCATGGAGTTTGGGGAAAAAAACCTACAATATTTAATTATGTATTTTTTATTGTAAGTATAAGTGAGCTTTACTCAGAATATTTTCACAGGTATGTTCAACATATGGACAACTCATATCTGCTGTGGCTGGGTTAGTGCCAATTAGAGCATCACTGTCATAACCAGCAGAAAGGCAGAATAATAATACTCTGTTGTGTGACATTTACATTTTTCTCTCACTCATACAACCCATTCAAACAAGAACAAAACGAAGAAAATTACAAATCAAAGATATTTTTAGATTTTAGGCTTGAATCCAAATAAGCAGAAGAGTCCAAAATAAAGAAAAACTTCAATTATGTTTCCTAAAGAAGAATTAAAGGAAAGATTTCAAAAAGCTCACTGAGATTTAGTTATGGGGAAATAAATTATGATAGCATATTATAGCAATTTGATACGGGAATTTAAAATAATATAGATTGTGTTGGATAGATATCAAAACTTACATAAAAAAGTATGTGGGGTCTAATGGTACCTATGAGAGTGAACACATTTTTATAAAAATTCACCTCCCCCTTTTCTGAGTTTCATCAAATGATCCCTGGTTTTAGATGCATGTATATTTCGTATTGTTCTTCCTAACATCATCTTATCTTTAAACACATCACTTTTTGAGACTGGGCTCTCCCCATTTCTATTCCCTGGTTACCTTTCAGTCACCATGCCAATGTGTATTACTTCTCCCTCTCAGGGAGAGAAGCTTGCTTCCCACAAAATCTATTGAGCACTCACTCCGTGGGAGCATGAAACAGAGTTTGTAATTCCCAGCATGTTTTTATTTTCTCTCTGCCCTAAAAGATTTTAGATCTAATGTCTTGCTTGATCAAAGACTTTTACATCAAAGGGAGAAGAACAAAGAGTAGGAAAGAGGAGTCTGGATCTACTTTAACTTTCCACTGGATTCCATCCACTGGGAGAAGAGCTCAGTGGCCTTCTGGATGCAGGGAGCATGGCCCAGTTCACAAGCCAGCCTCAGGAGCACCGAGCGAAGCATCCTGTCCCAGGCTGAGCCCTCGTCGCTCCAGCTTTGTGTGTCAATCATTTGCTTAAAATACCAGAGAAGGTAACGCTGCAGAAAACATGAGATAGTTTACAGAGAGGCTAAATTTAGTTGGTACCATAGCTTTTACTCACCCACCTAAAAGGCTCAACTTTGAATTTTCTGGAAAACACAGAACTACTTATCTTCATATTTTGCTTATATTTCTTCCTCCCACCTACTACACCAAAGAAATAGATTTTTGGCATTAGAAATGTGGCATTTTCTATCCGAGAAGGGATCATCAGTTGATCTAAGAGGGGACCGTCAATTAATAAAAAATCACCTTTAGTAGTAATACTTTGCCCAAAGAGTTGGCTTAAGAAAGAAAAGAGGGATGTCAATCATTAGGTGCTGGGGTTTGGCTGAGCTATCAGCCAGTGTCCTCAGCTTCTCCCTAATTTAACTCCTAGGAGTTAACTCCTCAGCTTCTCCCTAATTTAACTCACACAAAATACACTGAGCCTTGTTGATTTTCCAGATACTGTGTATTTACTTAATACATTTTCTAAAAGTAATACAAACCTTGAGATTTTCAGAGACGTCTGAAATATTCCTTCTGTCCATCATGTGGTATAACAATTCTAAATAACTCAGACCTTTAAGAAGTATAGGGCTGCTTGTTTCATGTTGGAGATAGCGAGTCAGGTTCAGGGCTTTGTCCAAGGTCAACCTTCCTGCACTGAGGTACAAAGCAAATATGGGTAGTTTGTACAGATCTAATAGTTCTTAATATTTTTAATATTAAAGCAAGTATGAAACAGAAAGCAATTAACAGAAGCAGTTCACCATAACCAGACCATTAGATTTAAATTCTAGTGTTGATACTAAGGAGCTGTGTGATCTTGGACAAATTACCTAACCTTTCTGGATCTAAGCTGCCTCCCTTGTATGATGAGAATCAATAATAGTATCTTCCTCATAAGTTTATTGCAAGGATCGAGTTAAAATTTGAAAAAAAAAAACACTTAGAATAATGCCTAGTCTATAGTGAGAATATAACAAATGAAATACATATTAGCTAACATTAAGATTTAGTACAGAATAATGAACATTTTTACATATTATGTCATTTTGTAATTGTTTCATTAGTGAGTCTCACTTGTTTCTTAAAGCAAATTGAGAACTTTTAGGACAGGTGCCATGTCTATTTCTTTTTTAAAAATTTGTCTTCATGGAACTGAGAGAAAAACCTGAATATATTCTCTAGTTTTGCTTATCTTTAATTACTTGGTTTTAGTTGAATTTAAAGTCACCAATTTTTGAGGTCAGATAGCTGAACAATAAATTATTATTCTCCCACTAGCTTTTCTGTGGATAACATCTGAGATATATGGGTTTTATGATAACGGATATCCTGGTTACTTCTCAGGAACTCTTTTGTTGAAATGCCTCAACTGGGCCTGCAACAGGGGTTTTATGGGTGACCTTTTGATGTCAAGAGGCTGAAAATTCAGCCTTCAGATCATGCTAACACTGCCATTTTCTGTACATTTGTCCCATGAAGAACTATGAAGATTGATAACGCATATGCAGACCACCGATTGCTCTACCTCCAATCACCTCTCCCCACACCTCAGTCCACTCTGCTTCTTTATCCCTTCAATATCCATAAAGGTTATCCACTGGGAGAGGGATTTGAGACTTGGATCTCCCACATCCACAGTTGGCTTCCTTGCAAATAAACTCTTTTTCTTTGCAAAGCTCATTTCAATGATTTGCAGAGGGCAAAATGGAATGGGCTTGATAATAATTCTACCAGAAAAGTAGTGATCATTGTGAATAGGACAAATAAGTGTTTTTATCTTACTTAGTTCCAAAAGTTACATGTCTTTTTACATTTTCTTGCAGTAGAATAACAAGTAACTAGGATATTTTCTGCAGAGGAAATAAACCATTACATCCTCTGTCTTGGAAAGTGATTCTCAAGTGTGTTTCTGTGAGGCTATGATCCACACAAGGTCCTTAAGCAATTGTTGAAAGCATTCAACTCCCAGACTGCACACCATCACATGATGTGGAACATTCCAGAACAAAGGATTTCTCTGTTGCATATTTCATTAACATAATGCCCTACCTCCTTTGGTTTTGCGAATTTAAATTCATATTTAAAAAGAGAGAACAGAAGCTAGAAAGGAGTAAAAGTAAAAAGAGCCAAGTTCTATTGTGGCCTTATTCTTCTTAATCATAATGATGTACAACTTTAAAACACATTTATGGAATTTTTTTCTAAAAATTTCATCTGAAGATAGAACACTGAACCATATGCTCTATGATTCTGAGATCTGCTGTATTTTGTAAGAAACAAATCCACAAAATGTCACTACTCCTTCCTACATGTATAGGTATCATCAGATATGTAGCAGTTGATATCTTAGCACCAGCAATAGGGGAAATGGCATTCTAAGGTTGCAATTTAATGTTTACACATTAAAAACTAGTTTCTATGGTGCTTGATTTGTTGTTGTTTTCTTTTAAGCCTGGCCTAATTTATTTTTTACTAAAATTAATGCCATTATTAGAACTCGTCACTTTTATATTTGCCCACTTTTCTTTATTTTAATGTTAATATTTATTTATAATGAATCACTTTATATAGTTACTAAATTGTTTAATAACTTTTAAACAATTACCTTTAAACTATTAAACTCTTTACCTGCCTCATGCTTCATTCAATACAAAGGATGTTATCTGAATGTTTGTTTAGCATGAGGAATAAACATTTATCAAAGCATAGACTTCAGTCTAACAGGAAATATCTATATTTATTTATTTGCATTCAATTTCAGTTAGATGTGAAACGGTACCATATTCCTGAAGAGTCAATTCAGGATTTATTTTTGAGATGGAGGATTAAAGGAAAAAATACAACTTTTTTTTTTTTTGGTAAGAAAAATACAGTTGCTGTTTTAATTCCATTCAACTCAGACAAGGTACATTTCAACAGAGCAAAAATCTAATTCAAAAAATATCCATTCCTGGACTAAATTCTGTCTCAAAAGTAAACATGATCACTGTTGCTTCTTTATCTCTAACATTGAAGCTTCATTAAGCAGGGAGGGCAGATTACATATATAATCTATATATAATTATATATATATATATATATATATAATCAAAAGGGAATAGCAAGTAAGAATATTTAAGATCTGTTATGAGAGTTTTTAATTCTTTCCTCATAGAGTTGGCCATCCATATCTATGGATTCTACATCTATGTATTCAACTGTGTATTTAGAATATTTGGGGGAAATTTTGCCTGCACTGACTATATACAAACTTTTTGTCACTATTTCTAAACAATACAGTGTAACAATTTTACACAGTATAGATATTATGAGTAATAGAGAGGTAATTTAAAGTGTACAGGAGTATGTGCATAGGTTATATACAAATACTACACCATTTTATATAAGAGCCTTGAACAACTGCAAATTTTGGAATCACGGGAGATCCAGAACCAGAAATCAGAAGGATAACTGTACTGTCATTGTAACAGTATTATAGCAAATATAAACAAAGCAATTGGAAATTAGATGCAGGGGCAGAGGGGGACCCATAATTCACTACCCTGTAATTCACTCAGAGCATTTTGTAATAATTTCTTTGGTTTTTGTTTTCCCCATTGACTTTTTTTCTATTTGCACATAATAATATACAAATTTACATTCTGCTTTTATCCAACTTCATATCATTTTTATGTTGTCAATTTCTCTCCTATTCAACACATTATGTTTTAAACAATTTCTATTAGGCAACCTCAATAATGTTAACAGATGACATTTACTGAGCAGGCACTGTACTTAATGTTTTACCTAATGCAATCCTCAAAATAATCCTGTATGTTAGGCATTATTATTAATGGAATTTAAAGTCTACAAAATTTAGGCTAAAAAGGGTAAATAATTTGCTCAAATTGAGTTAACTAATAAGTGAAAATGTAGTAGTCATTTTATCTTTCTGTTTTAATTCAAAACTTGGACTATTGGTTTCACTGATCTGCCTACTAATGAAGAAAGGATTGTTTTTTCCACTAATGCATCAATAACTGTAGGTTTCTTCCTGCTAAGTTCAGACTACCAATAAGTTTTTAGGCTAGAAACAGCAAAAGGAACTTTCCCACTACTTGAAAGATGGGATTTCATTTTCAGAGTTGTCCATATTCTTCATTTTTCCTAGTTTTAAATTTTTAATCTATCTTTTCTGCAATCTGTTCAGAGTTCTCTAAGTAGACAAAACTCCTTCAACTAGCAATAATCTACTTCTTAGCTAGCCTATCTGCACCTGCTCTTATACAGCACGGAATTTTTCCTCATCTTGTCCTCCAATGTGCTGTGATATCATGATGTTCCTGAGACTCTTAGGGCTCAGGATTAAACCTCACTCTTCTTGCCTAACTGGGGAATTCTGTTATTCCAAGAAGCTTCACAGAAGAGATGTCCTGCTGGTTACTTTCATGCAATTTAATGTAAATAAGCATAGGAAAGGAAATAATAAGTCACATTGAATACAATGAGGATACTACAGAACAGTAATACTCCACCTGATCCTCATCACCCCCCCACCCATTGAAGACCTTGTAACCTGATTTATTCCAAATATGATTTTGTTGATGATAAATTGAAAAGGAAAGAAAAAAACTTTGCTTTTTCACAGTAGTCTAAAGAGGAATAAATGTAAACGGCCAATTCATCTTTCATTTCCCTATCAATCTCATATTGATTTCCACACTGCAAGTAAAATGCTGAATGGATTGTGCCCCAAGCTAACCATTCATTTACAGTCATAAAGGTTGGTAATATATTTATACATTTTCATTTTAAGAGATTACATTGGTATTTGGTATAACAGCTACTACCATAAACAAATTTACAATTTGAGTCAAAAGTTCAAGAGACCTGAAGACTTATTGTATCTGAGGGAAAACAGCCCACCATGTACCATTTGACACTTTGGTTCTTGAGATACCACAGACATGGCCTAAAGATAGATCATCCACTGCACACCCCTTATGTTTGTTTTGTGGAAATGAAGGTTCACAGTTGCCAACTCTAATTTTTAAAAAATACTCTAGAAGTCATACTTTTCATATAAAATTATCCACATTTAAATATGTTGGGTTAGATTTATAAACACTGGGTTGGCTAAAATCTATTTTCAGTGGGTGGGCTTAGACATAGCGGCCAGTGTTTTACCTCCATTGAATTCTATATCATATGAATGATCAATATTGAACATTTCATTCAGAAATCTAGCATATCCGGTTACAGGACAATTATTTCCTATGTAATCAGATGAAATTTTGCATTACCTAACCAGCTGAAAGGCATCGTGAATCAGACCTATTCTGTCCTTAGGCCTGAGAAGCGTATGGTTCTGGTTCAGCTGAGTAATCAGTTGGTCCCATCCATGCCCTTCATAGTGAACCAGGTAATAGCCATTTGAATCCACATTGAATTTTACCCAAGTGGTTTTTTCAGCTAAGTCCAGAGTATCTAAAAGGAAAAAATTGTCAGAGGCATTTCATTATCAACATACATATCAGAAACTTCTCCAAAACTATTAGTTTAATAGTAACACTAATGAATCAATGAGAAGACAACGTTTTGGAAGACACATGTTGATATTCATTTGCTTAGTCCCTTGAATGGTTTATTTGAAGAAGATGATCTTATTAAACTTATAAAAGTTAATTCACAGGAATAGTACTACTGAATTTGTTCTAAAAAACATAGTCTATCCAGGTATAATGGCATGTAAGAACCCAGTTAACCAGATGAGGGACATATTGAAATCTAGCTTCCTTTATTTGTGTCATTGAAATATGTATATAGATGTAAATTGGAGATCCATTCATCTAGTTCTTATTATGATGAATAAAAGAACTGGAGTTGAACATGATGTTATAATTGAAAATCTAAATTTTTATTGGCATTGAGAGGTGAAATTAAAATTATATATTTTTAATACAACATACATCTAGGTAGTAAAATTGCATTATAGGCCTTTCAACAGTATATGAGGTCTAGTCCTCATTCAAAATTTGATGAAAAATTAGAGCTCAGGAGGAGTTAAGTTTCTGAAGATCACACATCTAATAAGTAACAGAATGAGGATCTGAATCCAGGACCAATCCCAGAACAAACGCTTTTTCCCACTAACAGCCTGGCTTCATGCATTATTCATACAATGGATTAGTAGGTATTAAGGAACATAAGATAGGATTCCCTTATTTCTTGATCTAAATTCAAACTAAAACTAATGTGAAAAGCACAAAAGAGCTTACCACTGCATGAAAAATTCAGACTTTCTATCTGAAGGTAACTTTAATAAGAATTTATCAATAAATGAGAACTTCCCTCAAACATAAATCTTTTTATTAGTCTTTTATTGATAGTATCTTTCCTCCAATAACTCAAAACATATTTATTTTCAGCACTGAGACACCTATTTGGCTAATAAGTGTATTACCTGTCTTTGATTTTAGAATATGTCTATGGATCGTGTTCGAGGAACTCGTAGAGTAGGTCAGTGGGATGTGCCACAGGAACCTGTAGTGAAAAGTAGAGGGTTACAGAATAAATGAATGTTCATTCCAGTTTTCACTCTGTCAGACTCCACGGAGAGTAAAAAGCACCAAAGCACCCAGACCTCACTCCTATCAGTGGCCTTGTGAAATGTTCTGGCTATGGCTATTGTATCCTTAGGATACAAAAATTTCTTTCATGATGATTATGTAGGAGCAGTGATATATACCAAACTGAACTTTGCCACAAGTACCTGTTATTTGCTGTCCAAATCTCACACCATAACAAATTCTTTTTTTTGTGAAAGAAAAAATTACCAATCTTCTTATATTTCCAGAATTTCTATCAGCCTGATGTTGATTCAAATAACGAAACTGAATCTGTAGGGAATCCTTAAGAGGTAAAGAACTCACTTCAGTCTGATTTTTCACTTATCCTCTTCTTCAACAGAATCATTGCCCCAATGCTAAGTGGCTGCAAGTCTGTGACCACCAATACTTCAGCCAATGCAGGAAAGCTTAGCTCAGAGAACAGAAAAGCAGAGTGGATTCGAGGTCCAGGCCTACTACTTTCAATGGCCTTACCATAATAAATCACAGAAATTGACTATTTTCTAAACTAACTTTCTACAGCTTCTCGAGTTCATTTTCTTTCTTATCAAGACATCTTAGCCATAGTAATCCTACCCATGTAAAATCATGCACTTGATAACACCAATAGGTTATAAAATAGAAAGGGAATGCACAAATGGGAGGGAAAAAAATCTACCAAACTGCACTATGTCCATGTATGAATACTCCAGAGTGAATCCTGCTTAGATGTACTTATAATGCACTAATTAAAGTAATAATAATAATAAAAGGGAGATAGGTAGAGTTGAGCAAGTGGATTGGGGGAGAAAGGAAGGGAAGGAAAGGAAAGAGGGCAAGTACTGGGGAGTGAGATTGATCAACTTATGTGTATGTATGAATATGGCATAATGAATCCTAGTATTATATATAACTAAAATGCACCATTAAAAAATAAAAAATAATAAACACCATGTAAAATGTAAATTTGAAAAAGGGAAACAACATATACTAGCTCTATCTAGTAAAGTTTCAGAAGAAACAGTTTATGTGTTAACCTAGAGAGTACAGATATTTAACAAGCAAATCTGACATCTTTACCTAGAAAGGTAAAATGGGCCCATAAATATTGCCAAGAATTAATGGATTGGGACTCATGGACGGATTTTGGACATGGAGAAAGAATAGCACTACTTGAGTTTGGATAACCATGAATCAGAGGGCCATCATTTTATAAGAATCATTTAAATTTGTTCCAGATGGAGGGAAAATGCAAATCTCTCTCTCTCTCTCTCTCTCTCTCTCTCTCTCTCTCTCTCTCTCTCTCTGTGTGTGTGTGTGTGTGTGTGTGTATTTATTCTGGGTAATCCATAGTTTTCAACTCTCTCATGACATTTTGCAAAATGGTGACTCCTGCTTTTCTAGCATTGAATCAAACATAAATTTCCCAGATTGTACTACTAAATTATAAGTTGCCTAAGCTCTGAGTTTTAGACTTGAGAAGAACACACAGAAAAAGGGAAAGACGTGCACACAGAGAAACAGATGAGAATTGCTATGGATTATCAATATGTAAATGATACAACAAAAAAGAAAAAGAACACATATACTCTATGTGTTACAGACCTCCATTTGCTTTTCACTTTTAGAGAAATTATAGAATTATTCGACAGGTGCATTCTGAGCAAAAGAAAAAATAATCATAAGAGCCAGCACAGGTTAATATAGATTATTTCATTTTAAATTAACTTCATTTATCTTAAAGATAGGACTATAGATCAGAGAACTGTGGATGGTATTGTGTCACTTGATTTCAGTGATGCCTTTGACAAATTTTTGCAGGAAAGGCAAAGGTGAACAAGATGATAGTGTGGTTAATTGAATTTGCCTTCAGTATTACCAAGAATATCATGTTCTCAGACATTATATTTATAGATTATTGCTGAAAAATGAAAGTCAATAGAAGGCTTTACATCTAATTTATCACATAGGAATGTCATTCTCTAAAGATAAGAAGCATACCTGAGATAATTCTTCTTAGGTGTTGGCCAATCACTTCATTTGAGAGTGCCCAGAAATCAGTGTAACATAATAGATACATAACCAACCATTCTGCATCAGAACCAAGGCTCTGAAAGCAGCATGGAACTTCTAGGAATGGAGTTGTTGAACAAAGCCATCTGGGCCACCTGAAACTCTTTAAATCTGTTATCAAGGCTCCTTTAGGCCTGATTTCTATAAGGAAATTATATCCTGCAGAGCTACCAGAGGAGCTGGGAGAAAGTGAACAGAATAATGAGCAAACTGAGATGAGATAAACTAGATCCAAAAAGAAAATCAGCCACCTTTCCTGCAGGGCCCTCCATTCAGGGTCCTCTTTGAAAACTCCCTCCAGAAAGCGCTCCTGTTGTATGCTGAGTGAACACCCATCTTGTTTAACCACCACCAGGGGGATTCCTTTCTGGAGAGTCCATGTAGTCATCATCTCTTTGATCTTATTTTCCTCAAGAAAAGCAAGCTGAAATGACAAGAGACTTTGGTAACTCAAGAAGGAGGGGAGATTCCAAAAGGAGATCGGAAGCTTTCATCTCCTTGGATGTCAGAAGCAAGGTTCAGGGAGGGAGACCAGCATGAGTCCTCTGCTGGTCTCCCAGTGCAGGGCAATCTAAATCACTGGATTGGGGCAGGCCACCCGCTGCAGGTTTCCTGAGTGGGGGATACACAGGGGGAGTTTGCAGGGCTAACTAGAAAAGCCAGCAAGGAAGCGGTTGAGACTGGAGCGTCTCTCTTGTTCCCTTTTATAAAAATGAAAAACAAAAGTTCCCTCTCTGTTGTAATAACTGGAATCCAGGCAGAGAGGGTTAGAAGGGAAATGTCTGTCTTTAGGGAAGTTTCAAATATTCCAACAGAGATATACTGAATGGAGCATGGAACCTAACTTCTGTGCTTCTAATATGGATTTCTGATCACTGGGTGATGATGAAACTTTCCTTAGAAACATTGACTTACAGGATTACCATGACTCTTAAAAAGAAAAAAAAAAGAAAGAAAAGAAAAAAAGTTTGCCTTTTTTTCCACAATGCATTTTTCTCCCTCCTGCTGCCGTACTTCTATAGCATCCAAAGGTAACAACAACAAAAAAAGTCTCAAGATAACCAGACAGACACTATTTCCAAACCTAGAAACATACTTGATTTGGCATTTTTTTTTAGAGACTAAGGGATGCCAGTGCAGTAACAACCACTCAAAAGAATTTTGCGCTATTTTTAGCAAGCAGTGTAGCTGTGGGAAAGCTGCATTAAGACAACAGAAATATTGTAATAATAGCGTCAATGCCCTAAAAGGCCTGACCATTCCTCCTTCAGTCAGCTTTGTTTCCAGGAAAATTGTGGAGTCTCTCTTCCTCTCCAGTTATTTAAAGGTACAGATGGGCCATTTTTATGCCCTACTCATTCCAGGTCAGGTGATGCACCAGATCTTTCTTCTTCTCTTTATACTTACTGTGTCACTTTTCACCTGGGAGTCAGAATAACAAATTCCACCAGATGTAAAATCACCTTCTAAACAACTCTAGAACACAAGAAAAAACGCAGTCATTTAGGAACTGATTATTGGTGGCAATTGTGTATTAGACATGAGCAGATATCTATTATGATAGCTATGTGAACATATAATGCATCTAGACACCTTAATGAACATGAAAATGAAAAACAGGTATCTTTGTAGTGATCAAATGATAGAAATACACACAAGTTATTATTTTGTGGTTTTTTTTTTTTTGTGTGTGTGTGTGTGTGTAAAGTTTCCAAAAATGTTCAATGTGGTCAATAACCATTTTAAGAAAGGGCACACACAAAAAATAAATAAAAATGAAAATAAAATGAGATAATGCACATGAAAGTGTTTTTAAACTACACAATGCTATGCAAATATCTAGCAAATTTGTTACTGTCCCTAGGATGCAAATGCTTATAAAAATGAGAAGACTTCTTCACCTAACATGGTTAGATTCTTCTACCTATAGGCACAAATTCTCCCAGTTCAATTATTCTATAAAAATTGTTTTCTTTGCAGTAGAAATGTAAAAATATTTTAATAAATATTAGAATAATCTGAGCTGTGTTCTGCTTTGTCTTTTCTATGAGTCCCAAAGACAAAGAGATTATGAGTTATTTAATCAATTGTTAACTTTATTAATCACTATTCTATCAACAATATTCTACGTGCCGTAGCATTGAAAAAATAGGCATTATTCATGTTCTTAAGCAAATTATTATTGTTATTTCCAAATCCATATACACCAATAAAAGACAGCATCATTTTGTGGAACAGTTCATAAATGCATTCAACAAAGAGGTAAACTAGTGAGCACTGAAATAATCCACAGAAGGAGGCAGGCAATTCTCAGATGGATCTTAAAAGCTGCATAGAATTTAAATTATTGAAAAAAGGAAAGGGTATTTGAGGTTGCAAGGACACTAGAAACAAAGGCACAACAATGCAGGAATCGAGCAGGAGTTCATCTAATATGGGAAAATATTAGTTTTATGCAACAAAAAAATGCATATTGGAGAATAAAGTTGAATAGGTAGAATTCAAACTTAAAAGTTGGCCAAGAAAAGTAGGTGTTACATGTCAGGGATTGCAAAGCTATGAAATATTTTGAAAAAAAGGAGATAAAAGTGAAAAAAGGGAAACCAATGACAGCAAGGTCAAACAGTGAATCCATCTCAGGGTGACATCCTGGTCTAGTGTGTTGCCAGAGAAAATAGAAAGGAGCTGCCTTCTAGAGAAACTGACCTGGCAAGTAGGATAAATGTTGTTGACTGACAACACAGCTACTTATAAACTTTTGTGATTATCCTACAACTTTTTAGACTTAACAGTCTACTGTAATTCAACATAGGACTTACATTTGACAGACTGCCCCACAAGTCATCATTCTTAGCATTTCTATAGCTGAACTTCTTTAAGTAGTGAATTATGCCTTCCTGGAATTTCTCCTCACCCAGGAAATCCTTGAGCATATTCAAAATGCAAGCTCCCTTTAAAAAGAAAAAAAAGCAGAAAGAAAACAGATAAAGGAAAAGGTAGTATGATATGCTTTTTAAAATAAGCTTAAATTTTATGGAACATGTGATGTCCAAAAAATTAATAGAAAATAAAAAAATGAAACAGGTAGCAGTAGACAAGTACTAATGGCTTAAACTGTTGACTTTACAGTTACTCTATTTCTTCTGAAAGAAGAACTTCTACCTGCACACAACATTTTCTACCTTGTTATAAGAAACTGCATCAAACATTTCCTGTATCTGAGTAGGAGTTTCTGCTGGTTTGGAGATGGGACGAGATGAATTCAATGAATCTCTTGTGATTACTGCATAACACACATCGAAAAAGTAGTCATCCTAAATAGGAGAGAAAACTTTTAGGTTTTAGTTGGCACTCTAAGGACAATATAAAAACACATTTAGTTTAGTAAGATGTTGTTAGAGATAAAAATTTGATCAATATTTCTTCTAAGATGCTTCTTTCTCTTTATTTATATTCCCCTTTTGCCAATTCTCTACTTTAAAATGATACAAATCCAACATTCCCTCAGACATTGCCTGAATGTTTACCATCTACCAAGCCCTTGAGTACAGAAATAAAAATAATTGTTTCTATTTAGTGAATATTTCCTGTGTACTAGGACCATCATCTGCAATCCTTTCAAAATCCCGCGAGGTAGAGGCATTATATGCATTTTACTAGTGAGAATGTGTTAAGTGTCGAGATTAATGTACTGAATCAGTGTGTAGGAAATAACAAGAAGACCCTGACTTTGAATCCACATGTACTGGGCTAAATGTCGACCCCCAAAGAGCTGATTAAACATTACTGGGGCTAGAGGTGTGGCTCACTGGTAGCATGCTCGTCTGGCATGTGTGAGGCACTGGGTTCGATCCTCAGCACCACATAAAAATAAATTAATTAAATAAAGGTATCGTGTCCATCTACAACTAAAAACATATTTAAACAAACAAACAAACAAAAAGACATTACTAACCACCTCAAGATGTGGATTTGGAAAATGATCAGGCCTCTACATTTATTTAAAATAAAGGATAAGCTTGCTGCATACTGTGGTGCCCACCTGTAATCCTAGCAACTCAGGAGGATCACAAGTTTAAGGCCATCCTTGGCAATTTAGTGAGACTCTGTCTCAAAATAAAAATTGGAAAGATTTGGGGGTGCAGCTCAGTAGTTAAAACAACAAAACAACAACAACAATAAAGCCACAGGTTTGTTCCCCTGCACTAAAAAATACTTAAATTAATAAAATTTTAAAAAGTAAGAGACCAGTCATTTTCTTCAAAGGACTTGAATAAAGTTCTTTGCACACATTGGGGAAGCCAGCAGGCCCTTTGGAAATGCTACAGGAATGTGATCCAATTGTGTCCAATTCAGGTGATGTGCTAAGAACTCTGCATAGTACACAGTAGCCATGGCAGTGCTGTTCAAGTATACTGACAGTGATATTTTCCCATATATGTTTGCATTAGCTTGCTGTATGTTTATGCTAGCTTGCTTTCTCTGTATGCTCCATTTGGGGGGAGATTTTTATGCTAATTGTTTTCTAAAATATTCAATGTTTCATCCAGATCTGTGAACTGTTTTATGTATCAAAAACCCTGTGATTATAAAATACATTGCTAGGTAGTTTTTAATATTCACTCAAAACTTTAGTACTAAGTCAATGAATCTTTAGGGCATATGGCATGACACACAAAATTATGAACTTACAAATTGCAGTTCTGGATATGTAGCATTGACAGAGATAAGTTCCATGTAATTTGCAAAACCCTCATTAAGCCAGATATCATTCCACCATTCCATTGTAACCAGGTTGCCAAACCACTAGGAAGTAAAAACTCAATGTTACTAGAATTCAAATAATATCGAAAAAAAATTTAACTGTAGCAAAATATACCATAGCTGCTAACTTTTCAAAATTATTGCTAATTAAGGCCTCTCCCTCATCTTTGCTGCCCTTTTCTCTCTGCACGATTTCCTTCTACTGATTTTTCTGACTTTTTGTTCTTACCACCATGTTTTTGCTTGTTTCCTCTTTCTTGATTTTGTATCCTCCTTGACCCTAATGTTCTTGCTTCTGTTCTATCCACTGAACATTTCTTAGCTCAGATTTAATATTGAGGAAGAAAAGGAAATTTTTTTCTTTCTTTTTTTTTTTTTTTTTTTAGGGGTAGTTTTTCTTTCTCGAACAATAAGAATAATCTCTTGTCCGATTTAAGATAACGGCCACGGGAGAAAAATGAGCCAAAATGTCCTTGGTGAGGTCATCCTTTTATATTAAGGAGTAGGTACTTAAGAAAATCATAAGAATTCATTTAGAACTCTCAGATTATTATAAAAAAATACTGATGATCAAATTTAGTCATTAACTTCTGACCCTGACATCTAAGGATTAATTTGGCCACCCAAAAGAATTAAATTCTAAGATTTAAGATGCACATTTAAATAAAAGTGAATGATAAAAATAATCTAAATAGAGATTTATCTTTGACCAAGATTTCATCTGTATCATGAATTTTAAATATTTGTCTTTCACATTTTATTATGTTTTTTATGTATTTAGCCTATATGCCCAATACTGTGCTTCTCATATATGCTTTTTAGGGTTGAAATCTCCAGATAAACCAGAAGCTTAACCATTAAGATTCTAAGACTTAGAAATGCCTTGTTACAGTTATGATACAGAAAACTCTAGGTCTTTAGCCTCTTGAAATCTTCAGCTCTACTCCTTTTGTGACAACTCTCAGATCATTTTGCAAGTGGACATAAATCTTTCTAAGGTCATTTGTGGGAAGGGACAGAAAGTTTCCCTCAATTAATTGTTGAATATGGAAAGCACAGATTGAACTGAATCTGATAACTTCACCAGCGAAAGTAGTTTATCCATTCATTCAACAAATACCTACTGAGAATCTACTGTATCTCAGGCACCATGCCATATATCAGAAATACAAAAATATATATAATGTAGCCACTGCCTTAATATAAATAATGGAGGTCAACCAGTAGACAAATAAATGCAACAAAGTGTTATTGGTGCTAAGATCCATTGATGTCTTTGCTAGGGGCAGAAAAGATTCCAGGAAAAAATAACCAGTTCTTTGAGGAGAACATGTAGGGCACTTAGAAAATGACTTATTTCCTGAGATTTTCAAGTAGTCCTTAGGTATGCTGGTGTATCAAATTGCAGGAGCAAAGGTGTAAGGGGGTGTTCAGGAAATAACAAGTAGTATAGGATGGCTAAAGCTTCAGGGGTAGATAAAAAATGAAGCTGGAGAGCTGGAAGGAGGCTGGTTCATGGAGGCCTTACATGCCATGCTAGGAACCCAACTGGCTTTGGAGAATCCTTTGCCATGGTTATACGCAAGGATGACATGATGACATGGACATCATTGGACAGACAAAATAATCAAGGCAAAAATTCAAATGCTGTCTGCTGCTTCAGCCCTAGACTCTGTACTTCTGTGAAAAAGAAGCTGTTAAACGAAGGCCCAGAGGGAGGGAGCATCAAGCCTCAAAGGTAGAGCTCGCAGACTATTTCCCCACAAACAATGAACAAAATTAGAACTCTCTAGACCCAGTTAAGTGCTTTAGAGCTCTCAGTGACTTATGATTGAAGCACCTAAAATAGTCATTGGGGAGATTCTGAACCAGAGGAAGCAGCATACATGTTCTCAAAGTACAGTGCTGAAAGCATGGATCCCTGTGTAATGGCGACTGAGTACTTAATTCAAAGCTACTCAACACATTGTTATTATGTTGGTGATCAAGGATGAAGTTAAAAATTTTTAGAGAAGAGATTTTACCAACTTCTACAATAAAATGATATCTGCCCATGTGGTCAATGTGAACTTCCAATGTTATTAATAATTTACTGTATTAGAGTGTTTAGAAATAAAATAGAGTGGAAAATAAAATAGAGTGGAAAATAAAATAGAGTGGAAATGATCTCTGATAACTATAGACTAGTTTTACAGTTCCATACTGGTTGTAATACTTATTTTTCAGAGGTAGTATTAATGGTTATTGTCTTCATTAGTGACACATTGAGTGCTTAACAATATGATGGGCGAAGACACCTTCTTTATCTATGATATTTACAACAATCTTATGAAGCAGGAACTAACTTTATTTCATACATTAGCTCATGAGTAATTTACTTGAGCTACTTCATTATGGCTATACAACCACAGGATCTAACCGAAGGGAGATTGATTTGGCCCTACATTGCAATGCCAGGAAACCATAAGAAATATTTTGAAAGAAGTTTTTATAAGGTTACTAATTCTGTGCTCTGTGTGTCTGCATGATTCTCATCCCTTTCCCCAAAGGACATTTAAGGGCTTTTCCTTGAAGAGTTTTAAAAGATAAATTTAGTGGTCACTCTTGTGATAAAACTCTAGTATAAGCCCTACAGTCAAAGGCTGAGTCCTCTGCTATTTGACACATTGTGTTGTACCTGATAACCACTGAGTTCCCCTCTATAAGGAAAATGCTGATTTTATGTTGTTTCAGGAATATTGGTCGTGGTCTGTATGATGCTCTTTATAGTATGACACAAGAAAATATCATGAGTGTGACCTACCTGGTGTGCTAGCTCATGGGCTATGACTTTTGTGATCCACATTTTATCAGAAACAGAAGAGGTTCTGGGATCAAAGAGCAATGATGTCTCTCTGTATGTAATAAGGCCCCAATTTTCCATGGCTCCAGGCCCAAAGTCAGGAATAGCAACTAAATCTAGGACAGAATAATAACAATAGTTGATCATTATGGCTTCCTCACTGAAGTAGAATTTTCTCCCTGCCCATACACACCATGATCTTTCAGTGAGTATACACAATTTTCTGAAAATATATATAAAAGAATCTTAACATTGATTTGGTGTCTTGTAGTTGCATTGAAAACAATCAGTATCCATTAGCAAGTAGAATAAACTCTCCCCATACATTTTTGTGGCTAAAGTAACTTACTGACCCTTGACCATTTTTTTCCCTGAAAGTGCCAAACTCTGAAAAAAATTTAGGTGCATTACTGCCAAGAAAATAATTTATTTTAAAAATGCCCATAGTTTGTTTTATATTAGCAGTATTTAAAATCTTTAAAAATAAAAGGCATCAGCCGGGTGCAATGACACACTCCTATAATCCCAATAGCTTGGGAAGTTGTGGCAGGAGGATCACGAGTTCAAAGCCAGCCTCAGTATAGCAAGACCTTAAGCAACTCAGGGAGACCCTGTCTCTAAATAAAATATTTTTAAAAAAGGACTGGGGGGCTGGGAATGTGGCTCAAGTGGTAGCGAGCTCGCCTGGCATGCGTGCGGCCCGGGTTCGACCATCAGCACCACATACAAACAAAGATGTTGTGTCCACCGAAAAACTAAAAAATAAATAAGGGGGTTGGGGACATAGCTCAGTGGTAGAGTGCTTGCTTCACACACGCAAAGCCCTGAGTTCAGTTCCCAGCATCGCAAAAAAAAAAAAAACAAAAAAAAAAAAAAAAAAAGGACTGGGGATGTGGTTCAGTGGTTAAGCACCTCTAGATTCAATTCCCAGTGCCAAAAATAAATAAATAAGTAGTATGAAATAATTTCTAGTCATGTTTGAGATCCACCAAAAATGAACTCATTTCTTAAAAAAGAACTTTCAATCCTCCTGCCTCAGCCTCCCAAGTCACTGGGATTGTGGGCATGCATTACTACACCTGGTTATTTAACAGTTTTAATGTACTTTGCACATTATAAAAATGTTTGTTTGTTTATTTATTTTTGGTACTGGGAATTGCTCAGTGTGCTTTAACAGTGAGCTATATCCCTAGTAAAGTACTGAACTCTATCCCTAGTTTTTTTTTTTGAATTTATTTTTTAACTTTGAAGCTGGGTCTTACTAAGTTATTTAGGCTGGCCTTGAACTTACAGTCTTCCTGCCTCAGCCTTTTGAGCTGCTGTGATTATTGCCATGTGTCTGGCTGCAACTTTTATTTTTTAAGATAGGAAATTAAATCCAAGGTAGACTATGAGTATCATCACACCCAAATTAAATTTTCTGTTCTTCCCAATTTTAAAAATTTGTGCCATAGTCTTATCTTTTAATTTCAATGACCAGTATGGATAATATTTGGAAGGGCAGTTTTTAGCTCTTTGGTTACATAAACCTTTGACAGCTTTTAGAAAAGAGAGCTGATCTTATACAAATATAGTATAGATAACGCTCCAGAAAAATCATGCAATTCTAATATGTAATGAATATTTTAATATTAAACCTGATGAAGTAATAGAAAAATGATCCACTCTACTTGGGGTTCTCATAAGTACTATATTTTCTCTTTTCTTCTATTTTTTTTTATTTCTTGGAGGTTTTCTTTCTTTCTTTTTCCTCTAATATTTTGGGGCATTAAAATTATACCTAATAGTAGGATTTGTTTTTACCTATTTGTACATACACATAACATAATTTGATCAATTTAATTCCCCAGTATTATACTTTCTATGTTCAAGGAACATCTCTGGAAAACACATTTTTCCTTTCTGGGCTAACTGAATCTCTTCAATGTTCATATAAACAGGGATGAAATCAAAGCAAGTTCTATGAGCAAATATAAAGGCAATGATGTAGAATATGAACATACCCAATTTGGGGAGTGGATAGTTGATATCAAAGTACTTTTCATAAAAATCAAGTAGCTTCAGTGATGCTTGCAAAGCATAATGCATTTGATTCCATTTGTCTGGGGATGCATAGATGGACACCTGGGAAATGCGGATCAGAAATGGTCTTTTAGTGACAGCTCTTGGTTACAACTCCATTTCTGACAACTCTTATCCACAGAAAGACAGACTGAATTTTTCAAGAAAGTATTAAGATACCTTTAGCATGGTGTCAATAAGATATAAGGGGTTCTATGAAGTATTGAGACAAAAGCCAGTTTTGAAAATTATAAATAACCTCTATTTTCTGTTACAATCAACTCCCTGAGTGTTGATTTGTAAATTACTAGCTATATTAACCCATTATGAGAACCCACTTGAGTATATCATATCAGTGATGATATACTCTGGCACTTGAAACCAATATTCCAAAATTATGGTCATAAGTAAAACATAGATCCTATTGCTATGTGGAAAAACCTTTAAGAATTTATAGATTCCACCCCATCCCCTTTCTAGCTTGTTTTAAGCTAAGAAATGTTCAAGTATATTCAATAATTCCCCCAAAGTAACTAGCAGTTAAATAGAAAAAAACAAAATTAGATTCCAATTTTCTTAGCTTCCAAGTATAGGGCTAAAGGGCTATTTTCATTTTATGATCTATTTTCATGCTCTGAATTAACTGAAGTCCCTCAGAACTTTCATGCAGGGGATATGCAAATAGTTACCAATTTTTTTAATGGTTTACCAGGCACTCTACTAAATGCTTACAAGTAAATTCTAACTTAACAATCATACACACACCTCCTGTGAAGTACATGCTATTATCTTTATTTTACAGATGAAACAAGGGAAACAAAATACATGGAGGTTAAATGCCATGTTACAAATCACACAGGTAGAAAGTTATAGATCTTGGCTGTGAATCCAAGAAAGCTGATAGAAACATGTCCCTCTAAAGTGAAGTGCCACCTGACTGCCCGCCCCCCAACACCCACATCTATGCACATATGTATCTATGTTCAGAGATGCTTTGATATGTATGCAGACACATAACTCATAATACATATCTACATAAGCATATGTGTATATAAGCTATAATAGCAATTTTAGAACCATTTTTCATAAGTATTATTTTATGGTTCTTTGAAGATGTTTTCACATCTATAATTTGGTTCCTCATGGCAGGAAGTTCTTTTTTATTTCTATAGTGTCTCCACTGATGTTAGTAAAAATGTAACTGCAAGATAATTATTGGGCATTCTGGTAAATTTTCGCAAGTAATTAAGACTCTAAAAATAATGAAGATCTTCTTTTATTGAGGTAAAAAAGTCATAGAAAACAAGTAGGAACAATAGGAATGCCCTAAAACAAGATGTTGATTTTTAAAATCTTCATGCAATTATTAATATCATATTTTAGAAAAATATTTAATGGCATTTAATTTTTATGTTATATTTTGGTAAAAATTATATAAAAGACACCCATGATGTATTATTTTACAAAAGTGTATATATATATATATATTTAAAAAAATACATACATAAATATATACAGTATGTAGTGTTACTATGTCCACAAAATATGCTTATGTACATACAGAAAATATTTGGAAAGATTAAATTATGATTATGAGTAGCTGTGTCTTGGTGATAGGATAAAGGAACATTTTTAAATTAATTTTTAACCTATTCTACTATGTAAAATAAGAAAAAATACTTTAATGATAAGGGGGAAAGCCTAAGAAAATAATTAAAAGCTCATTGCTTTCAGGATACTATTCTGAACTGGGTATGAAATTAGAAGTTAATCTTACCTTGACCCCTGATGAAGTTGTACCACTCACCGAGTTGAAATCACAAACTATATAGGCTACAAGGTAGGTACTCATTTTCACAGTAGTTGCAAAGTGGTCTTCTAAGAGGCCTCCTTGAAGTTCAATTGTTTTAACCTACAGCAAAGGAAAGGAATAAATATTTGAGAACTGGGTATTTCATGACCACGACTGGCTTATGGCAGGAGAGTTAGAGGGAAGCCTGACACTCTGAAGGATCCTCGATGCCTTTCTAGATCAATGAACTCTTTTTACTTTCTGAGGTCTCTCGTAGCTCTATTTCTTTTATCCTCTTGACAACACAATGCAGTGCTTTGGGGATCACAAAATGATGTCCCTTACATTTGTGTGTGTGTGTGTGTGTGTATATATATATATATATATATATATATATATATATATATATATATATAATCTTAGATGCTTCTACATTCTTAAAATGGAATAACCTCCAGCATTGGCATCGATTCAAGTTCTGGGGTTCTAAGCACAAATGCCAGAGAATGACCCCTTTCCCTTTGTTGCATAATAAATAAACCTTTGCAGTGCAAGGAAATGGGAGGCAAAACTGTGCTAGATACTTTACATTATCTTTTAATCCTCTTATGTGGGTGTGAGGTAGGTGTTATTTCACAGGTGAGGAAGCAGAAGGCTCAGAAATGTTAACTGAATTGCCGAGATCACACGACTAGTTTCACAGCAAGACCAAAATATGGATGTGACCCTGTGATTCCAAAGATGCTGCTCATTCTTTCTTTTTCTGCATGACAGCTTGAGTCATAATCTTATTTTATCTTTGCTTCATTGATTCAGCAATGAAAGCAGTCAGGCCAAGAAGGTCATTAGTAATTTAAGCTTCTGTCCATCTACTGAGGAAGCAGAAGGTTTTCAGCCTGTAGACTGGTCAGCTGTATCCATTAAATTCACTGAGAAATTACTAAATTCTACCTTTGCTTAGTCTGAGTGGCTTGTGCCAGAGATAGTTTGCACCATGTTATGCACACTGCTCCTAAATACTGAATGGATACAGATCCAATCATCTGAAAATTCCACTTTCTTCAAATTTGTCAAAATGTAAAATTTTCCTGACCCACCCCTAGCCCTTTTTAAGAAGTCAGGCTGTTAACAACACTGACCATGGTTTATTAAGCAAATTTTATTTGTTGGATAAGATTACAGTTTGCTTCAACCAGAGAACATAGCTTGAAGGATTACAATAAACTGTTTGGAATACTACAACAGCAAATGTTTGTGGTTTTAAAATGTACAGATTTCTATTGAAAAAAAATGTATTTCTGAGTTTCAATAAAGCAGAAGATACTGATCAAATATTCTAAGAAAGTTAGAATTTTATTTGGGCTGTATTTTTTAACTCTATGCAGCAAATTAATTTTGCCCCAAAATGATCTCTTTGAGGAATCTGATTCAGTTAGTGTTTTATGAATCCCTAGCAAAGGAACTGTCTTAAGTGGAGGACAACGGGCAGGTAGCACTGTGGACTTCTGCAAATGTCAAGACCATTAGGCCTTGGATGTTTGGATGGGTTATGAGAAGAGGTGGTGAATCCATGGGACTGTGAGAAAATGAGAGTCTGGACCACTTGAAAGCTGGTGGCCGAGATGATCAAGAGGTAGTTACGTATTTGCCCTGATTTCTGCCTCCAGAGAGACAGTCCATGGAAGCCAAGTTTTGCATGGGAGCCTGGAGTGACCCATGAGGATTAGCATTTCCTTAAATAGAAGTGCATGGGATATTCACATAAGTTCTTCCAGAATGGTGATGTAAGCTCCAATTATAAAGCACTCATTGCTGGACAAGAATTTAGCTAGTTTCTCAATGCCAGAAGAACTGTACTTGCATAGTAAATATCACAGCAGGTATGTTTTCCCTTAAGGTGGAAAGGAGCCAAGGAAATGCCCCAAGGTATGCTGCCAACTAGTGCTTGGGTGGCCCCTACTTCCCTTAAATATTTTATTCTCAGTTAAACAGATTGAGAATTTCATGTGTGTTGCTTCATCCCATCGGACCACAACTCATCTTATTTGTTGCAACTATTATCCAGAGAGTATAAAAGACTGGATTGGGGAACAAAAAAGCAAGTTATACTAGTATTCACTGTAAAGAGCATGAACCAGAGCTGCTTCAGCCAGCTGAGCCAATGCAGAGATTCAAGGATTGGATGAGATATTTTCAGTGTTGGCTGATTTTTTTTTTTTAAATCCAGGGGCACTTAACCACTGAGTTACATCCTTAGCTTTTTGTGTGTGTGTGTGTTATTTATTTAGAGACAGAGTTTCACTGAGTTGCTTAGGGCCTCGATAAGCTGCTGAGGCTGGTTTTGAACTCGCTACTCTCCTGAGCTGGGAGAATGGGGCACAGTGCCTGGTTGATTTTTCTTAAATAGGAGAAGTTACCAGAGGTTTCTAAAGATATCCAAAATTCTAATATAATAACAGTAGTGTCAATTTTTGTTTGCGTAATATATTAATGAACAGTCCTACTTTACCCTCCATATGAAAAATTATATTAATAAAAAGCTCGCAGGAAAGAGACGGAATGACATATTGCCTTTAAATGAACATGCTGTTGGAAAGAAGCCTCAGAGCTAAGGTAGCAGATCATTAATACTGAAAATGAAAGAGCAAATTAAACTTCTGTCTGTTTGATCATGGAAAAATTGAAGCATATGTGTCACCTACAGTTTGCACATTTTCCCTTAGTCTTCCCTGCTAATATTTCAGAGAAAATGTGTTTTCCAGCATTAAAATAAAATCTGAGGAAATGCAGTGTCAGAGAACAGTCTCTTTTCTCTCTTGCATCTGCAGAGGCCAGGCCCTCTTTAGAGCAGAGTGGAAAACAACTATAGGGCCATTTGATGGCTGCTGGTAACCAAGGCTGCTTTTTGTGCAGTCTACCATTTGGAAGCACCACTGAGAAGGCCTCTTTTTATCCTATTTTCCAAGCATCAATTGGGAAATATTTTACATTTTGTTCAACAGCACAAATGGCAAGCATATCATTAGTGAGGAAATATCAAATGAGGCTCAGGGACAATTGTGTCCTTCAGGGTCTCTGTATTCTGAGTACAATTCAGAATAATTCAAGGCCCCCCCCCCCCCAGAATCCAATGTTCTCTTTCAATTAAAAACATGCACAATCACAAAAAAAATAGCTTTCAAAAATAATTTTAAGAACTACTTTCAACATTTAAATAAAAATGGATAAGGGATTGTAAGTGTTATTACAGATTACCAGTCAAAATTTTCCAGAATGAGGCCTGAAAAGGTCCTTTAGGCCCTTGCCCACAGCAGTTGCAAAGCAGGGAATTGTTATAAAAGCAGAATTTTGGGCCTCACCCCAAGGCCTACTGAATCTGAATTTACATTTTAACAAGATATTTGAACAATTCATGTTAACACTAACATCTCAGGAGTGCTGTTCTAGGTGAACAGCAATTCTGAATTTTGTCACTGATTTAGGAGAACACTGTTTCCACATGAACTCAAATAAAATATAAATCTCTTTGGGGGAAAAAAAGATTTTTATGTAGGAATACCCCCAAACAAAATGTCTAGAGGGGTTAGGAAAATTATAAAGTATTTAGATGGATGAAAACAAACTAATGGCTTATATCCTGAAAACAAGGGAAAATTTTTAAGCAAAGACAGAGACACAATTGAGAACAATCCCCAAAATTCCTCAAAGTGGCAATACCTTTGGCATGTTGGATAGTGCGATGTGTCTGCTCTCTCTTCTTATCTTGATTGAAAAGTTGGCTTTGAACAATGGTTCATCAAAGCAAGGAAAAGCCATACGTGCCTGGGTTGGCTGAAAATCTGTTACTGCAATTATTCTGCGAAAAGACCCCCCACAGTCAGAAGACGCAAGTGAAACCAAAAATAAATTAGTTCATACCTTCAGCAAACAGTTTACTAAAACTGGAGATGCTGTATTTGATTTCTCAAACTATAGTCTTAGTGAATCCAGATTTTCCCTCTTTGAAGAAAACAAGGGTAAAATCTTACTCAGTGTCTCTGCCAATCATGATTAATGCTCACTCTTGAGCACTCCCCATTATTTCCATACACTTGTGTCACACAAGAATATTGAGGCTCACAGAATTCGAGTAAACTATACCAGGATCCTTAGCAAATCAGTCTCACACCCAGTTAAACTGGCCTCAAAATTGAATAGGAAATTAGTAGTTCAGTTATTGTCTTGGAGCCTGAGGAGGCTTCAATAAAATGTGCGAATAATTATATAGATGAGTGATGTCGTAGGTTGTGCTTCCAGGAAGGGAATCCCAAATTACTAAGAATATGCTGTCAAGATGAGGCAGTAAGAAAAGAGGAAAAGCTTGCAAGGTGTGGTATTAGGCAAAGTCCCAGCCTCAGCCTTATTCCCAGAGAGCTCTGGGATGGAAACTATACCTTCGAGTTGCTTTCACTGAAGGCAAGGAGATGGGCTCTCATATTCTTGTATCACCATTGGTTAAGGCTCTCCATGTGGCACCAAAGTCCCTATTTCTAAATCTATTTGCTGGCCAGCAAAGCTCCTCCAGTCTTCAAATTGTAATAAGTCATAGACAGTCTAACAAACCCTGTATTCCAGCACTTCAGTAATATCTGAAATTGTGTAATTATAAATTTATTGCTTGCATTTTAAATTTCAACTAAGCAGTATGCCTGGGGAGCAGAGAAGGGAATAATAAAAAATCTCAAGTGTCTGATAAAAGACAAGGGGGCCATGGGGAGAACAGAGGGGCTATAGAGATAATTTTACCTCAGCTTCTTTTATTTTCTGATTCTGGTTGGGGAAACGAGGTTAGGAATGTAAATGATTTACTCAGAGCCTCAAGTTTTCATTTGAATTCTGTAGCAGGTATTGCAAATGTAAAGGAATTCCAAGCGTCTGAAATAATTTTCACTAATGTGAAATTTGGGTTCTATTAAGTCTACATTTGGAAAAGCAAGGAAAACAAAACAAATAAACAAACAAACAAAAACACACACAAAAAACCCCTGAACCTTTGCTATTACACAATTACTTTTAACTCCACATGCATAGTAGTGATTTCCTGCTTCTCAGAAGAATGATTGTCTCCTGAATTATTTGTGTGTGTATGTGAGTGTGTGCAAAGAAGAGAGAGACACGAGTTCTGTCAGATTCAATCGACACTGTGCAGCATATTATCCCACATGTCGATCTTTTAGATGACTGAGTATGAGCAGCCCTGACTCATTAATTATAAGAGTAGTCAGATACAGCCTTCAATTAATGATGGAAGGTGTGCTGGAAAGTCCTCTAGCTCTTACTTCAGATATGTACCCCTGCAGTCTCCCACATTTCCAAAAATATTATCCCTAAAATGTATGACCTTTGAATGGACCACTTTTTACTTAAAAAAATAAATAAAACAAACAAAGAAAACACCACTGGTTTTATGGTGCTTTAGTGACAAGGAGTTGACATGTTTTGTTTCTAGTACTGTGCTGGGCCTGAGCACAGGTCCCTGAGAATTGAGTGCAGTGAGTGTCACCAAAGGGAGGGGAAAAGAGCTGGGCCAGGAGAAGAGATGGGCCAGGGAAAGAGCTATGCTATGTGGACTTGAGGCCTCAGTGGACAGTGAACACCCAAGGTGGGGAAGGAAAAGCAAGTATGTAGAAGACTCTGATAGTCATCTGCTCAATATCCATTCACTTTCTTTAGTTTTAAACTCTCTGCTTTTCAAAATTAATGTCCAATTCAACTACTTTGCTCCAGAACTAATGTCACTAGCTTGGCCCAAATTACCATAATTTCTTTCCTGAATAACTGTAATGACTTCCCAAATGATTGCTCTAATTCTATTTTTTCTTATCTATGACATACCCTACCATGGTTTGGTCTGGCATATCCCCTCAGTAGCTCATGTGTTGAAAGCACGGTCCCCAATGTAGCAAGGTTCAGAGGTGGGCTTTTAGGCAATGGTTGGACTATGAGGACTCTAACCACATCTATGGATTAATCTATTTGATGAGCTAATCTGATAAGTGAATGGACTATGGCGAGGTACGAGTTATAGGAAGTAGGTCACTAGGGGTGTGTCCTGGCCCCTCTCTTTCTGGTTCCCAGCTGTCATGAGCTGAGAAGCTTTCCTCTGCCATGATATTTCTGCCTTGGATCCAGCTGACCATGGACTGGATCCTCTGAAACAGTGAGCCAAAATAAATATTTCCTCCTCTAAGTTATTCTTGTCAGGAATTTTTATCATAGTGATAAAAAGCTGACAACACATACCCCATGATAAGGTTTGATCTTCATAAAGATCAAATTTATGATCAAACCAGATCATAAATTGTGATTTATGCACAAACCAGATCAGAACCTTCCAATGACTTTCCTTTGAACCTGAGGCTCTAAAACTCTACATGACCTTGTTCCTTTCCCCCCTGTCACTCCCTCAACTCACACTGGCCTTCTTTTCTCCCTCAGCCCTACCTTAGAGACTTTGCTCTTACCCCAAGGTGTTCTCATGATTCCCCTGTTCACTCCTCGCTCTCTCTTTCAATTCAGGTCTCAGCTCAAATGCATCTTCTCAATAATAACTTCCCTGCCAACTCAACTATATTTATCTCAATCCCCAGATATGCTTTTTTCTTATTGTATCACTTTGTCTTATTTTCTTCATAGTAACTATCATTTACCTTGCCCCTTTCATTTATTTTCTTGTCCTCATAGTCTCTTTGACCATCTCTTACTACTGTGCTTTCAAGGTCCGTAGCCTTGACTGGCACACAGTATGTGTTCTGTGAATGTGAGATGACCAAGTAGACCCTATTTCTTAGTTCTCCAAACATATTTCTCCTTTGCCACTGCCTCCTGGGTTTGAATGATACTATGTCCTGCCAATGTGCACTTTCTCACTTCCTCTTTTCCAATCCAAACCTCACATCTCCTTCTGGTGTTGACTCACCTTCTCTGGGAAGCTGTGCCTATTTCATCCCTCTCTGTGAGGTCCATTCCTTCCCCTAGCATATCAGCATGTTTGTCTTATCAGTCTTACACTGGCCTCTCCTTGAATTGCCTTATTTTCCCTCCAGCTGTTTATGCCTCTGTATCCTGTCTTCCCATTCCCACTGTACTTAAGAAATAGTATAGTTTATCTCTCTTCCAAGTTCCCCACAGTGTGTTGGGTTTCTTATAAATGATTGCTGAAGCACACTACTGACAAAGAAATGTAAGCCACAAAGAAAGTATGACAAGAGACTGTAATGACTGATAAGATCTTACCTTGTTTCACCATGTAGTGTTCTGTAGGTGCTTTTATAAAACCCTTCAAAACCATTAGCTAACTTTCCCTGAAAGTCAATAGCAACATAGTATCTCAGGTCAGCCATAAGTTTCTCTGGAACCAGCAGTGCAATTTGTTCATGAGCAGGATAACTCAAAACATGAAGCTTTTTCCCTGGTTTCTTATCTCTTAAATCTTCCTCTGACTGAAGGGTGGCATTCATGATTTCAAGATCTTTGCAGTGCAAGATGATAAATTGGGTGGTATCTCTGACCAAAATCTCAATCATCTCAGATGCAACAAAGTCCAGAGAGGTGAGATTTGGGTGGACAAAAAGGTCATAGTGGAGAGGAATGACACTGTTTGGGAGCCTTAGGTGATACCAAGGAAATGGCTCCCCATTGGTAGCTACTGCAAAAGCCCCAGGGTCCTCACTGGACTGATAACTAGATGATACTGAGAACTGAGAACAAATGCTTAGTTTGGGCAGGATTACTTCTGAGCAGCAAAATCCTATGTAAATATTAAATAATAGTTTTCTCTGTGAATTAATCATTGCTGAAGAGTGGAATATTAAATCTATTCTTTAGAATACAAGCTAACATTCAGGGTAAATCTCATAGTTCTTCATCACACTTTGGCTCCAGTTACACCATCCAAGATCCAAACAATGTTTCAATAGATAGATTTAATCTAGAAGAAAAAAAAGACACTTAAAACATGAAGAAAAAAATTTCAATTCACAAAAACTTAAAAGCATAAAAAGATATGCATGGATGTGAAAGACTATCAGAAACAAGCCAAATATCCATTAAATAAAGTAGAAATTAAGCAATCATCTGGTTATTATAAACAAAAGTCATTTTAGGCTCAAATAAAAGGACCCTTCCTTAAAATTGCACATATTGGATCCCCTTTGCATTCCTGAGCAATGAGCAAAGGACAGGAGTATAAATTCATTGATTGTTAATACTAATAACATTTTTTTACATCATCTTAAGAGTATGCCTGAATGCCTGAAAATAAATTGAGCAGGATGCCTCTATCTTGCCTTAAAAAGTAGTCACAAAGAATTCTGTATAATTTTTTATACCAGATATTAATTTTATTATTAATGGTATTGAACTTAATCTCTTTTCATAAATAATATCATCTCAATGATTTTATTCTATGGCTACTGATATAAAGGATGCAATAGTTTTCCATTACTTTTTAAAATGCAAATTCAACTGAATTCACTACTTCTGTAAATACAACTAAAGTAGTTTCTTCATATCAGAAAACAAAATTAGAACAAAAAGTTTAGTTAATTTAGGCTGTTCATCTCTGCTTCCTGACCTGCCACTTGCCTCTATTTGCCTTTCCTTGCTCCAACTTAACCTCACAAATTGTTTTTTTTTGTTGTTGTTGTTTGATTAATCATTAACAAGTACTTCAGAATTAATTATCCAAATAATTATTTCAATTTTCCAACTTTTAATGTTCATACAGATCAAAGGGCATATTAAAGGAAAAAAAAGAGAATAAAAAATGGATAAATAATGATGCTTCTCTTTCCCTCTTAAGAAAAACTTTAAATTATAGTTACTAAGAACCTCTGATGAGTAAAATAATTGGTTTATTATTTTGAATTTCTGAGGATTTTACAAAATAGAATGGTTTATTTGTTATACTGGGCTTTGGAATCACAGCACCCAGATTCCAACAGGAGCTTCACTTAACCTACCCTGTATGGTAGATGTTCTGACTTTTCAAACATTCATTTCCTCATCTATCAGACAATGCAATGATTATATCCCCTTATGTGAGGAGAATTAAACTAACTAATCCATGTGAAGAATTTGGCATAGCACAGCTATTAGCATATAGGGAATATGCCTGAATTCCAGATCGTAAGTTACTGCTGTGGTTACTGTAATTTGCATTTGTTGGCTTACATGAAGGACTACTCTGCTTCTCTTTAGCACACTCTACCAGAGAGAAGTGTTTTTTTTTTTTTTTTTGAGAGTGAAGAGAAAAGCCTTGACATTTCCTCAGATAGTCTCTAATGTTAATCTGGCAAGGATTTTAAAGGCCAGCTAGTGCAAGTTCTTAATGTCCAGATAAAGAAACTGAGGGTGAGTGACTGTCCCAAAATCACACAAGAAGTTTGAGGCTGACTCAGGACTAAAATACACTTTTCTGGCCCTCAGTATAGTGAACTTTGCATTACACTGCCTTGTACTTTAAGGAACATTGCAACAAACAAAATATTCTGGGATTGAAATTATAAGAATTACAAGGAACACATGGGAAATGTTTTTTTTTTTTTTTAAATCCCTGAAAAGGAGAGAGTCAGTTCAGCAGAAAGTCTTAAATCAAGTCCCATCCCCAAGTGCACTCTTTCCACTAAAGCAGTACCAGAGTCACCCTCTTTCCCCAGTCTCGGCTCAGATGACAAACTCCCCAACCCCAATATGAACAGATTTCTATCTTCAGGTTAGGCCACTATTCTCACTGAAAATCTGTGATTTAAAGAAAAACCCAAGAAAAATGCTGATAAATTACCTTGATTCACGCTGCTGCAGATTTGAAAGGAGGACACTTTATTATTGCTTTCACTTTCTCTTCTAAGATTCAAAACTTTGCATACTTCCTGATTACAGGGCTAACTAGTTCATTATCATGTAGGTACGAAGGAAGCATAAGACAAAATGTTCATTTCATAAAGCACAAAAACTTTCTGCAGAATGCACCAATAAGAGACTTCGGAGTAAAAGCCAGTTGGTAAGGTAGGCTCTAATTCCAGTATTTCTAATGGCTGTTGCTCCTGCAATTTTGTCTTCCTCATATCCTTATTTCAGAACTTTAAGAACCTACTTCATGTTTTTTTTTTTTTAGTAATAAGTTATTTTAAGCTAAGATATTGAATTCCACTCTGTGCTCTGTACCTGGTTATATGAAATATTACCTCTGTCCATCTACCCGCAACAAAGTTAACTCCAAGGTTGCCATTGAACTCCCTGTCAGCTTCTAAGGCCTTTACCACAGGTGATTATCCTTGGCTTTTCCATGTCTAACCTCTTGTGTCTTGATCACAAAGATCTCTTGGATCTCTCTTTCCTTCTCTCTCTCTATTTTTTATTCTATTTTATTTATTGTTATATATGACAGCAGACTGCAATTTAATTCATATTACACAAATAGAACACAATTTTTCATGTCTCTGGTTGTATACAAATTAGAGTCACACCATTCATATTTTCATACATGTACTTAGGGGAATGATGTCTGTCTCATTTCACCATATTTCCTACCCCCAAACCTCTTCCCTTCTACTACCTCCCCTTTGCCATATCAAAAGTTCATCTATTCCTCCCATGCTGCCCCCCCATCCCCATTATGAATCAGCATCATTATATCAGAGAAAACATTTGGCATTTGGTTTTGGGGGATTGTCTTAACTTCACTTAGCATTATACTCTCCAACTCTATCCATTTACCTGTAAATGCTATGATTTTATTCTCTTTTATTGCTGAGTAATATTCCATTGTGTACATATACCATGTTTTCTTTATCCATTCATCTACTAAGGATATCTAGGTTGGTTCTACAGTTTACCTATTGTGAATTGTGCTGCTATAAACATTGATGTGGCAGTGTCCCTGTAGTATGCTGTTTTTAAGTCCTTTGGGTATAAACTGAGGAGTGGGATAGCTGGGTCAAATGGTGGTTCCAATTCCCAGTTTTCCAAGAATTCTCCATACTGCTTTCCCTATTGGCTGAACTAATTTGTAGTCCCACCAGCAATGTATGAGTGTCCTTTCCCCCCCACATACTTGCCAACACTTATTGTTGTTTGTATTCATAATAGCTGCCCTTCTGACTAGAGTGAGATGAAATCGAGTGAGATGAAATCTTATAGTAGTTTTGATTTGCATTTTTCTAATTGCTAGAGATATTGAACATTTTTTCATATATTTGTTGATTGATTGTATATCATCTTCTGAGAGGTGTCTGTTCAGTTCCTTGGCCCATTTATTGGTTGGGTTATTTGCTTTTTTGGTGTTAAGATTTTTGATTTCTTTATATATCCTAGAGATTAGTGCTCTATCTGATGTGTGTGAGGTAAAAATTTGTTCTCAAATTATAGGCTCTCTATTCACCTCACAGATTGTTTCTTTTGCTGAAAAGAAGCTTTTCAGTTTGAATCCATCCCATTTATTGATTCTTGATTTTAATTCTTGAGCTATTAGAGTCTAATGAAGGAAGTTAGGGCCTAATCCAACATGATGAAGATTTGGGCCTACTTTTTCTTCTAATGGGCACAGTGTCTCTGGTGTAATCCTTAGATCCTTGATCCATTTTGAGTTGAGTTTGTGCATGGTGAGAGATAGGGGCTTAATTTCATTTTGTTGCCTATGGATTTCCAATTTTCCCAGCACCATTTGTTGAAGAGGCTATCTTTTCTCCAATATATGTTTTTGGTGCCTTTGTCTAATATAAGGTAACTGTAGTTATGTGGGTTAGTCTCTGTATCCTCTATTCTGTACCATTGGTATACAAGTCTATTTTGGTGCCAATACATGCTGTTTTTTGTTACTATTGCTCTGTAGTATAGTTTGTTACTATTTTGAAGTCATATGTTTCACTCTTCCTGCTAAGGATTGCTTTAGCTATTCTCTCTTGTTCTTAGCCAGGTGGAGCTGGACCTCTAACCTCCTCATCACATTGGATGTGGGCCTTCCACAAAGATGACATCTCTGCCATTGTTCTCTCTCTTTATCCTTTCTAGTGCAGATGTAGCTCTTCTCCTTGCTCATCCCACATTTTTTCCCACTCTGATCTTTTCTTCAAGGGTTCTGCTGCTATAGTCCCAAAAGCCTGATACTCTGGTACAAGGATATTCTGCCAACAACTCAATATTTTGTTTCCCAAGATCAGCACCCTTTCCTGATTATCTGTTCAAAGTCTTCCTCTATTATTTATTATTGGATTATATAGTTATTTTGATTCTGCTGTTCTCCAGTTTGTTACCAAATCTTGTGGATTCTTTCTTTTTAATATTTTTCTATCCAACATCTAAAAATTCTCACAGCTATTAAAGTAGCTCAAGTCCTCCTCACTTCTCACAATGGTCTCACACATGTCTCTTTAAAATTTTTTTTATTAGAGCTTTATAGTTATACGTAGTAGTTGAGTTCATCCTGATATACTCATACATGCATGGAAATGGATTTCAGTTCATAATCCCCCTCTTTTTCCTCTTGTCCTTTCTCCCCTCTCCCATTGTCCTTCCTCTATTCTACTAGACTTCCTTTCACACATCTGTTAATTTGTATTTGATTAATTATTCATGTTATCCTATCCTTCCCTTCCCATTTCCTTTATTTTCCTCTAGCTTCCACATATGAAAGAAAACATTTGACCTTTGAGTTTCTGAGTTTGGTTAATTTCACTTAGCATGATATAATACATTGCCATCCATTTACTGGCAAACACCATAATTTCATTCTTTTTTATGGCTGAGTAGAACTCGATTTTTTAATATGTGATATAGATATTTGCTGATTCCATAATTTAGTTAGTGTGAATTGTGCTGCTATAAACATTGATATGGCTGTATTGCTGTAGTACACTGATTTTTGATCATTTGGAAAAATACCAAGGAGTGAGGAAGCTGAATTATATGGTGGTTCCATCCCTAGTTTTTTAAGGAATCTCCATACTGCTTTCCAAAGTGGTCATACTAGTCTAAAGTCCCACCACCAATGTACATACTAGTCTAAAGTCCCACCAACAGTGTTCCTTTGTCTTCACAACCTCTCCAACATTTATTTATATGCTTGATCATTGCCATTTTGACTGGAGTGAGATGAAATCTTGGTGTTGTTTTGATTTTCATTTCCCTGAATGCTAGAGATGTTGAACATTTATTTGTTCATGTTTTTGTTGACCATTTGTGTTTCTTTTTTAGAGAAGTTTCTGTTTAGTTCTTTTGTCCATTTATTGATTGAGTTATTTGGTTTTTGGTGTTAAGTTTTTTGAGTTCTTTGTATATTCTGGATATTGATTCCTTATAAGAGGGGTAGCTGGCCAAGACTTTCTTTCATTCTGTAGGCTCTTTCACAATGCTCAAGCAGGTTTTTCTGGCTTCTCAATGCAGGATGGCTAGTTGTACAACATCACCAGATTATCCTTTCAACTGCTGACTGATAATGTCTCCCTACTCAAGATGTTCATCTTCTTTACAAAGAGAGGGGGTTCCTAATGTGGAGACCATGGGTGGCCAGCAGATAGACTATGGGACAACCTATGTTTATTTTGTTTAGATACTAAGGCATTGGAATGCAATGCACTCCTGCATGTGTTATTTTCAAGTGAATATAGCAAGCTGAGCTGTCACTCTTTGGCAGATCCTTTACATGCTTTGTCCTCCTGTGTATCTGCTCTTGCAATACTGCATTTTAGTCCAAGATCTCACCTTGCCAAGATTATATGCTAATTAACTCCCAGGCCCTATTTCCCCATCTCTTATCTTCTATTATTTCAACCTGAATATTATGGTTTGAAGTGAGGTGTCCCCAAAAAGCTCACATGTGAGACAATGTAAGAAGATGCAGAGGAGAAATGATTGGGCTATAAGAGTCTTAACCCAATTAGTGAGTTAATCCCTGCTGGGATTAACTGAGTGGAAACTGAAGTGATAGGGTATGGCTGGAGGAGGTGGGAATTGGAAGCATGGCTTTGGGGTATATATTTGTATCTGGCAAGTGGAGATTTCTCTCTCTGCTTTCTGATCATCATGTGAGTTGGTTTCTTCTGCCACACTCCTTCATCAGGATATTCTGCCTCACCTTTAGCTCCAAGGAATGGAGCCGACCTTCTATGGGCTAAGACTTCTGAAACCATAAACCCTCAAATAAACTTTTCCTCCCCTAAAATTGTTCTGGTCAGATCTTTTAGTCACAGTAATGAAAAAGCTGACTAAAACACTGAATGAACAATTTGATGAAGTAGAGAGGCAAAAATCAAGAAGTTAATCTAACCTGGGGCTAGGAGCACAAGGCTGAAAATGGAGTCTCTAAGACTAGCATTTCATGTGCTTAGAAGGGTATCAGGGATGAGGCAGAGGGATGGCTGGAAATAGTGAGTAGAAAAAAGAGACAAAGAAGAGGAGGCTTGGGCTGGGGTTGTGGCTCAGTGGTAGAGCTCTTGCCTAGCATGTGTGAGGCACTGGGTTCAATTCTCAGCACCACTTATAAATAAATAAAGTACATTGACAACTAAAAAAATATTAAGAAAAAAGAAGAGGAGGCTCCAGGGGCTTATTCACAGAGTGAATTCTGCAGGAGGAGGGACTCTCCCCTGCCCATTGGAACAAAGATGGTGGTGGAGAATGAGAAAACTTGGAGATCCAATTGAGCTACAGAATCCCAGAAGAGACAGTTGAGTAGAATCCGAATACTTCATAGTGTACTTAAGATGATTTCTCATCAAGGGTTTCCTAACTTTTGTTTTTCTTGATAATAGAATAAGCTTTGGGATATTTGTTGTTTAGAGAAATCAGATGTCTCACTTTATACTTCATCGTGGTTTCATACTTGGAAGAGTCTTTCCTTGGCTTTTTAAAGAGTAACAGTCCTAAATCAACACTGAGTCTGTACTGCCGCAAGCCAGGTCCATCCCCTAA